GTGCAACAACTGAATGTACTTAATCCCTCCGAACTGTACACCAAAAAGCGGTTAAAATGGTAAATTTTATGTTATGTGTATTTTAGCAGCAGAGAAAAGCAAACAAAGCTACCTGAATTTAACAAGCACTGTTTGAATATCTTCCACACTAAGGTCGCGTGTCCAAGCAAAGCCACACGTTGAAAAAACAGGATTAATAATCCAGTTCAGGTTTGGCTCACAGGCTGCCAAACATCTCACTGAAAATGAAAGTAAGTCCACTCAACTCTTGCAATATTTTCCCCCAAAGTTTAGAACTCCTAAACAGTACATATTCCCCCAAATCTGAATTGCTTCTCTGCTCATTTCATTTCCCAGTTCTCATCCTGTTTGCTTGTGACCAGAAGTATGTTTGCCAACCATCGATTCACATGTTTGCAGGGCAGCGAGCTCACTGTGTATCAGATGTAACCTTGACCCCAAGCTCCTTCCGAAGACCTGAAGCCAGTCTCCCTTCGGACGGAGGGGCTGGCCTGGTGAAGACAGGCTTCCTTAGGGTGGGAGACAGGGGCGCACTAGGCAACAGTAAGTTAAAAATAAATCCAGTTCTCTATAAGTTTCAGTTCATGAAACAGCACACGGCAGTGAATGCTGGTGGGAAATGCTAGATCAGCGTGCATTTCAATCCCGACTCTGCCCCGAAACTCTCTGTGATCTTGGGCAAGAGCAAGTTTCTGAACCTTGTCCTCTGACTGCCAGTGGGGGAAATCTTTGTAATTTCAGAGGGCAGAGTTCTCAACAGGAGGGGCCGGGGGGAGGGAGAGAGAGTCCTGCTGAGGGTGGCAGGACAGATCATAGGTGGTACAATGCCTAGCAGTTATAACATACTCCACACTAAAGATGGTCATTGTAATCACAGTTCTGAGAGCATTTGATAAGGACAGGTGCTGAGGGCATCTGGCAGAACAGCTAATAAGTAGTCAGTATTAATAATATCAGCTCCCTTCAGCTCTCTAAGCAAAAGGGTTTTGCAAAGTTCCTTCTGGCCCGAGTCTGTAATTCTTTTTGCATCCCTTCAAATCTTCCCTTCAAAACGACATTGTTATTTTTCGTTCAGGCGCTCAGTTGTCTCCTACTCTTTGTGACCCCATGGACTGCAGCTCAACAGGCTCCTCTGTCCTCCACTATCTCCTGGAGTTTGCTCAGACTCATGTCCATTGAGTCAGTGATGTCATCCAACCATCTCATCCTTTGTCACCCCCATCTCCTCCTGCCCTCAATCTTTCCCAGCATCAGAGTCTTTTCCAATGAGTTGGCTCTTCACATCATGTGGCCAAACTATTGGAGCTTCAGCTTCAGCATCAGTCCTTCCAATGAATATTCAGGGTTGATTTCCTTTGGGATTGACTGACTTGATTTCTTTGCAGTCCAAGGAACTCTCAAGAGTCTTCTCCAGCCCCACGATTTGACAGTGTCAGATTGGCATACAGTGTACATGAAACGTGGGGCTTAGCCTTCATCACACAGGTTTTCACTCATCACGCAGGTGGCAGGAGACCTGGATCTGGCAGAGGCAGCAGAAATCAGACCAGGAACAGAGGACTTGCTTCACAGGAGGTGGGCAGCCCCAGGTGTGCAGACAGCCCAGGCAGTGGAGGCGGGCTCACTCGCTGAGGGCTGAGATGACTGCAGGTCTCGGGGCAGGCAGCTTGGGAGCTTGTCTGCTGACCCTCAGAGTTGTAATGCGCACCCTCTCTGTACTCCTAAGTGGCTGGCAAGAAAACCAGACAGGCAGGGCTAGCCCAGGTCACTAGGGCAGAGCCTAAATGTTGTTCTTGCCTCATTTTAAACCCAGGACTGAGCTCAGGTCTTGCAGACAGGCAACTTAGCACAATGGCGACAAACATAAGCATAAACATTAGCGGATTTGAATATTGGCTGAATCATCTAACAGTGGGGTGACCTCAGTTAAGAGCTTAACCCCTCTGGGCCACCATTTCCTCATCTATAAAATAGGAAGGAAAAAAAAATATTTACCGTTTTGTGAAGATTAACTAGGGCAGAGCACATAACATAAGGCTGGTTGCTGTTAAGTGGCATCTGACTTCGCGACCCTGTGGACTGCAGCACATCAGGCTGCCCTGTCCCTCACCATCTCCAGGAGTTTGCTCAAGTTCATATCCATTGAATCAGTGATGCCATTCAACCATCTCATCCCCTGAACACAAGGGTTAGCACATACTAACTGCTCAATAAATAATAATGAATAAGCTCACAGCCTGGAGCAAGACCCAGGCTTTCTGCTCACAGTAATAATACCCAAATTTGTTAGCTTTTGCTACATGACAGGTACTGTGCTAAAAGTCTTGCATATATATGGGGACTTCCCTGGTGGTCCAGCGGCTAAGACGCCGCACTCCCAACGCAGGGGGCCCAGGTTTGATCCCTAGTCAGGAAACTAGATCCCGCATGTCAAAACTAGAGTTTACATGCTGCAACTAAAGATCCCACATGCCACAATGAGGATGGAAGATTCCACATACCACAGCTAAGACCTGGCCCAGCCAAATTAATAAACTGTTTTTTTAAAAAATTCTTACATATAGAACAAGCGTCTGAAATTTCATTCTAATTTTATGAAGTAAATCATATCTTTTCATAGATGGAAAAAACAAGGCTTGGAAAAATGAAACGCCTGGCGTATGCCCACAGAGCCAGGATTCGAAGCCGAGCAATAGTACTGGAAACCACTACTGCATCTCACGTAAGGCACGGTGATAATCCCAGTCACCCAGTGAGTGTGTCGGGATAAGGCCCACTCACCTCCCTACGAGTAGGGGTCCACGAGGATCCATGTCATCGTGGCACAGTCTGTGTGAAGAGACAGACGATGCAAAGTGAAGCCTTCTGAAAAAGGCACGGATCCTGCTCAGACAACCACGGTCTAGCAGGAAAGGCAGACACAACACACAGAATTAATTAGCTTAGAATTTTGTTTGCAGTGTTACTCAGCCATCACAAAGAATGAAATAGTGCCATTTGCAGCGACATGGATGGACCCAGAGATGATCATGCTCAATGAACTAGTCAGAAAGCAAATATTATATGATATCACTTATATGTGGAATCTAACAATACAAACCAATATATCTACAAACCAAAAACAGACTCACAGACAAAGAGGATAGACTTACACTTGCCAAAGGGGTGGGGGGTGGGGAGCAAAGGATTGAGAATTTGGGATGATCAGAGGTGAACTGTTATATACAGGAAGGAGAAACAGCAAGGTCCTACTATACAGCACAGGGAACTGTATTCAACATCCTGTGATAAACCTTAATGGAAAAGAATATGAAAAAGAATATATTGATATATATGTGTAACTGAGTCACTTTGCTATATAGAAGAAATCAACACAACATTGCAAATCAACTATCCTTTAATAAAATTCTTTTAAAAAGCAAAAACCAAATTGAAATAATGAAGACTATGTTGGGAATTTCCTGGCGGTCCAGTGGTTAGGACGCAGTGCTTTCACTGCCAGGGGCCTAGGTTCATTCCCGGGGAGCTAAGATACTGCAAGCCACACGGCACAGCCAAAAAAGAAAAATGTGCACAGATTAGGTGCTTTTGCCAGCGCTTAGGAGTTTACAAATGCATATGGAAATCACTTCGTTTGAGAACAGGTCCCGACCACGTGCGTGACGTGCAGAGTCCGCTTTCCGTGTAGACATGCTGTTTCCCTGGTTCTCTGCACGTGGGCCCCTCTGTGCTCGTCCACCATGGCCTGGGTCAGTCCACCTCTGCCACTGGTCCTCCAGACCCAGCCTGACTTCCGGGCCCAGGATCAGGACCGACCTCAGGAAGTGGGGTTTACAGACCATCAACTCAACCCACAGGTACTTATCGTCTTCCTTGACCTCGTCCCACGCTGCCCACTCTTTCATCCACCTGTGGTCTCGTGGGTTGCTCCAGACACCACAGCCCTGCCCAACACTTCAGGCCCAGAAAATGCAAATTCTCATTCCGCTCACCTGGAAATCCTGGAACTTCTGGGAAACGTGCTTAGTATCCCAGTTCTTCTCAAGTCCCCCAGAACGGGAGCTCAGCTTTGCTTGCCCTCTGAGGGCCGCCCCGCCCCCGGGCAGCTCGGGCACCTGCTCTGAGTCATCCATCTCCCCCTGCTGCCTTGACCTCAGCCAACTGGACCCCAAAGTGGCCACCTGGAGACCGGCCTGAGAGGGGCACTGTGACCCCAACTCCAGGCCCATCCTCAAACTAGACGTTTACTGCTAAGGATTTCTGAATATAATGCACACAGCTGGTCACAGGAGTCGATGGTCACAGGAAGCAGGGAGCCGGACAAGTAATGGCAGAAAGGAGTCCCCAGGCCACAGGGAGAAGGGCGAAGAAGCAGCAGGACAAGAGGGGAGAGAGAGGACGTTCCGCAGTGGCGAGTACCACCGTTTCTAGGCGGGGAAGAGCTGGTTGCCAGGGTAATGCTCATCCTTGACCATCCTTCCCGTCCCCGAGAGGCCTGTAGCAGCGTCTCCCACCAAACCCCATCACCTACAGCAACAGACCTTGGTCTCTGCTCTTCACCTTCCGAAATAGCCCAGCTGACTCAGCTAGTGGCCTCCAGGGACTGCGATCCATCTGTGAGCCCTCGCACCCCATGGAGTCACACACCCAGGCCTGTCCTCAGAGCAGGCGGCCTGAGGCCCTCACTGGCTCCCAGGACTGGCTCAGGCCCCAGAGCAGGGAGACCCAAGCTCTGCACCATCCTCTGAGGCGAGTGATGGGACCTGCAGCCGTTTCTCATCCATGAGCTGATGAAAGTGGCGCAGTGCTCAAAGGCCCACCAGACATCAATGCCCGGGGCCACCTTCTGCTCCTCTGCCTGCCCCTCTCTGACCTCCTTCCCTCTCCTGTACAATCAGGACCATGTCATGTAGGCCAGATCGTGTCTGATGCAAAACAAGTGGGTCGACATGAAACCCTCTGTCAACTTTAAGCCTTACCAACCAAAGCAGTGGGCTTCCCAGCTGGCTTAGTGGTAAAGAGTCCACCTTCCAATGCAGAAGTCGCAGGAGGCCTGGTTGCAATCCCTGGTTTGTGACGATCCCCTGGAGGAGGAAATGGCAACCCACCCCAGTACTCTTGCTTGGAAAATCCCAGGGACGGAAGAGCCTGGCAGGTTAGAGTCCATGGGGTCACAAAGAGTCGGACACGACTGAGCACGCAATCAAAACAGGGCCCTGCAGCAGTGGCACCCCGGGAGTGAGTTACAAATGCAGAGTCTGAGGCCCCTCCCAGCCCTGCTAACCAGAATCTGCATTTCAGCAAGACCTGCAGGGGACTCATCTGCAGTCAAAGACTGAGACGTGTGACTGAAAGAACTAGGAAAGCGCGCCTGACTGTTCTCAGGTCCCCACCAGCCTTCCCCTCCTCCTCCCCGCCCCCAGGAGAGGCACTGCCCCCTTTCTGAAGTCTAGAGCTGGTGCTCCTAACCAGCTGGCTCATCCGAATCCCTTGGGCCAAACTCCAGGCCAATTAGGTTAGACTGCCTTGGGAAAAGGCCCAGCATCAGTATATTTTTCATTCCCCAGGCGCCTCTAACGCAGACTACCCTCCAACCACACTGCGGCTCCATAACCTGGATTCTGTCGTCCCCTGGGGAGTTTGCTCCTGTACCACCTGCCCCGTCTCTCTCTCCAGAGTGGACCCTCGCTGCCCCTCTGCTCACTCCCTGCCTCCGTCTTCTCCCCTGAGCCCCTCACGTCTCCACCCCCAGCTTGCTTTTCCCTTGGGCGCCCATCACTGTGCCCCGTGGCTCTGCCTTGACCAGAGTCCAGGGAATACTCACCGACGTGGGGTTTTCACCCTGTGCTCCTGCGCTAAGTTGCTCAGTGATGTCCAACTCTTCGCGGCCCCGTGGACTGTAGCCGCCAAGTTCCTCTGTCGGTGGGATTTTTCAGGCAAGAATACTGGAGCGGGTTGCCATTTCCTTCTCCAGGAGATCGTCCTGACCCAGGGATCAGACCTTTATCTCGTGTTTTCTCTCTTGCATTGGCAGGCAGATTCTTTACCACTGAGCCGCCTGGGGAGCGCGTTTTTAACCTTGCACATGGACGGAGCCTTCTTCTGGAGGCGAGCCTCCACTTGATTGCGCCCTTTTCCCAGCTATCGCCCTGCTTTCCTCCGGAGCCAGTGATGAGCCAGCCTCCACATCCTCGTTAGGGGACGCTGCCCTCGCTGAGCCAGCTCGCCCCTGCCACCGCCTCTGCGGACACACCCCAGCCTGCAGACCCTCGGCCCCGGGCCGGAGGACTCTGCAAAATGTGGTTCGTTGTTAAGAGTTCACTGCTTTTGGGTAAACAAGGGAGAATTCTTCAAGGAGCCTCCAGTTTCCAGGGAACAAGAGATCAAAGAGTCACCCAGAGAAAGAAGGCAGGGTGGTTAGGGTCCCACCTGGGGAACGCTTGCCCGGGCTTTTTCCTCCCATGGCAAGTGAGCTGGGAGGGAGTTCCACCTGGATCCGAAGCAGGAGCCAGACGGGACCAGGAGAACACACACGGGCAGACCTCGGAGACTCCACGGGCTGGGTTCCAGACCACACAATAAAGCGGGCGTCCGGACAGAGCAAGTCACATGCGGGCTTTGGTTTCCCAGGCACATGAGTTATGTCTGCACTTCACTTGTAGTCTATAAAGTGCACAAGAGCATGATGTCTAGAAAAACAGTGTGCATACTTTAATTTAAAATACTTTATTGCCAGGGGTCTTCCCTGGTGGTCCAGTGATTAAGTCCTCACCTTCCAGTGCAAGAGGCACGAGTTCGATCCCTGGTTAGGTGGCTCAGATCCCTCGCAGCCAAACAATCAAAACATAAAGCAGAAGCAATATTGTTACAAATTCAATAAAGACTTAAAAAAACACTTTAATGCTAAAAAAAAAAGTTAACCATCATCTGACATCACAGGTTTCCCCCAAACCTTCAATTAAAAAAAAAAAAAAAAAACAATCACAGTATCTGCAAAGTGCAATAAAGTCAGCCTTTACTTCTTAAGGAAACATGGATAAAAGCCCAGGGCTCCATCCCGTAGCTGAACAAAGGAATCAGAAGCTCATTGGTCTAGGAGTCAGTAGGGACGCTGCGAGGGCTCTGTGATAGTCTCCTCCCTGCCACGTACACCCATAGCCTGCAGGAACTGCCGGTCTGGAAGATAAGCCATTGCTCACCACTTAACCTTCAGTCACTTTGTTCACCAAGGATGTCATCAGTGCCTCCCCTCTGCAAGGAGAGAGGAACGCAACAGGTCACCAGAGAAACACACAAGGTCGTGACAGAGCCCCTGACCCAAGGACCCCCAAAGTCTAGAGGGGGAAGAACAGACCATAAACAGATTACACAGTGATTGTCGTTGTCCGGTTGCTAGGTCATATCCAACTCTGCGACCTCATGGACTGCAGCCTGCCAGGTCCCTCTGTTCCCCACTGTCTCCTGAAGCTGGCTCAAATTCATGCCCATTGAGTCGGTGATGCCATCTAACCATCATGCTATCTAACTTACAAAGTGCGGCCAGGGGTTGAACATAAAAAGGTAAGTTAAGTAACCAGCCTCTGGGACACAGGGGAGGGACCTACCCAGCGGCCAGGAGATAGAGTGAGGTTTTTGATCCTAGGCCCACCAAAGCCCCAGGGACGAAGGCAGGGACTCACAGGGACTGCTGATCCCTTTCATCTTTTGTTTTTTTCTTTCCACTCCCCATACGTTAATTTACTGAAGTGAGGAAATCAAAGACTACTGTTTTTAAGGGTTTCTGTCAAAACTCTGAAATGGCTGTACTGTTCCCACCTGCAACAACGGTGAGAACATCCTCTTCCACAGCCCCTCCTCCTCCGCCCCCTCCGTGAACCTTTTCCTAGTTGCCGCATAGGAAATGGAGAGCTCACCTTCTTACACTGCAGTGTAGGTCACCGGCTGTGACCGAGAATCCAGTTTCCTGCAGAGACATGTTGAATGTGGCTAGGCTGCCTCACCCAAGCAGCTGAAACCCGGAGCAGAGGCCCGGTGTGGATGGGACTTCCCCAGATTCAGGGCTCTGGGAGGTATGTGGTGCTTCTGGAAACAGCACATCCCACCAGAGAGACCAGAGCCCCGTCAAATTCCTCCTCTGCCAGCACTGCACTGGGACCCTGGGAAGCTTAGCTCACTTTCTGAGATTTTGCTTCCTTGGCACCACAAGTTGGGGTTTCCAGGATGTAGATGCTGAGATGGAGTTTGGCTTGCAGAGCATTTATTAGGCTCCCCAGGGGGTGCAGTGGTAAAGAATCCACCTGCTAATGCACCAGACTAGGGTTCAATCCCTGGGTGGGGAAGATCCCCTGGAGAAGGAAATGGCAACCCACTCCAGTACCCTTTGTCTGGGAGACCCCATGGACAGGGGAGCCTGGTGGGCTACAATCAGTGGGGTCATAAAGAGTCGGACACAATTGAGCACGTGTGCTGAACACAGACACTTTCAGAGACGGGGGTGGAGCCGTCAAGTTCGGGCAGAAAGAGAAGCTGAACTTGGACAAAGGCTGAGCTGGTCCCATGGGGATTTGGGGAGAATATGTTGGTCCATCAGGGCGGGGGCTTGGTGGCCAGGTTTTTGTCCTCCTGCTGGGATCCACCCGTGTACACAGCCCAGGGTACACGTGACTCTGAACAAGAGGCTGATGGCTGCAGGCTCTCTGCTGACTGCATTCCTCAAGGCTGGAGCTACAAGCCTTTCCTTGGAGGCCCTGGGCAGGGCACCTCCAAGCCCGCCAGTCTTGTCTGTTGGAGGACAACAGTAGGGCCTGCCCTATGCTGGGTGACATTGAAATAAGCCCTGCATTCAGCGCACAGCATGCCTGGGGCTGAGTGGTGCCTGGCACCCGAGGAAACGTGCGCTGTGATTGCCAGTGGCATCCCAGGCAGAGTAAGATGGGAGGAACGTGGTTCCCCGTCTTTAACTCATCCGGCGCAGACGGAAGGACCACATCACGTGTCAGGCCCTGCTCTGTGACCGGAAGTGCTGGTCTAAGGTTCCATGTGGTTAACAGGTGGCCAGGGCCACCCTCATCAAGAAGAGAACCTTTGAGCCAAGACTTGAAGGTGGTGAGAGGCGGGTGGGGAAGCTGTGCGGGCCCTTTGGAGAGCACGTGCCTGGTGATCAAGACCAGGGGGCAGAAACAGCATGAGCAAGATGGGGCCAGTGCTGAGGTCAGAGATGATGAGACCACTTCCAGGTGGGGTTTTGTGCCAAAGGAAATCTCACTCAGGTGAAGTCAGATCTCACTGCCAACTCAGAGGTTCAGAAATGCAGGTGACACAGCCCAGTGATAACACCCTGAGCTTCAATCAGCAAAATGAAGACTGTGGGAAACTCCATGGGAGAAACAACCTGGTTTCTTCAAAAACAAGCAAAAATTGGAAAATGGCAAGGGAGAAAAGGGAAAGTGGAGAGCTATAGATTAAACTCAAACACTTTGGCCACCTGATGAGAAGAGCCAACTCTTTGGAAAAGACCCTGATGCTGGGAAAGATTGAGGGCAGGAGGAAAAGGCTGTGACAGAAGATGAGATGGTTGGATGGCATCACTGACTCAGTGGACATGAGTTTGAGTAAACTCTGGGAGATAGTGAAGGACAGGGAAGTGCAGCGTGCTGCAGTCCATGGGGTTTCAGAGAGTCAGACATGACTTAAAGACTGAACAATAACAAATAGATTAAAGAAGACAGGCATATAACTCAACCCCGCAATGTAAACCTTATTTGGATCCCAATTCAAGCAACCAAGCTGTCTTATCATCAGCATCATCAAATGCCCATTTATAACTGCTCAGTGCTGAGCAGAAAAGTACTGATAATAAGGAATTACCCTGGAATCCAACCAGTCCACTCTAAAGGAAATCAGTTCTGGGTGTTCATTGGAAGGACTGATGCTGAAGCTGAAGCTCCAGTACTTTAGCCACCTGAGGTGAAGAGCTGACTCATTGGAAAAGACCCTGATGCTGGGAAAGACTGAAGGCAGGAGGAGAAGGGGATGACAGAGGATGAGATGGTTGGATGACATCACCGACTCAATGGACATGAGTTTGAGTAAACTCCCGGAGTTGGTGATGGACAGGGAAGCCTGGCGTGCTGTGGTTTGTGGGGTCACAAAGAGCTGGACACGACTGAGCGACTGAACTGAACTGAACCCTGGAATGATTCGAGTGGCCACATGATCTAGGGAAGGGGGATGATGTGCCTGGAATCTGCTGTGAGTTCAGGGCGGCCTCCATTCCCACAGCTGCAGAGAAGTATTCAGATAATAACTCTGTTTCACTTTCC